GTTTCTCAAACTGCTAAAAAATGTATCTTCCTTCCATATGAACCAGAAACCCCACTCCCATGTATCTACCCCAAAGACACAAAAACATTGATTCAAAAAGACAACTGCACTCCCATGTTTATGGTTGCTTTAATTACAATCAGAAAGATATGGACTCAACCCAAATGCCCAAAAGTAGATGACTGGATTAAAAAGATGTAGTACAGGGCCCTCCCTGGTGGAGCAGCTGGTTAAAGCACTGCACTAAGCAGCTTAAGCCACTTCCGCATGAGTTCAATCCCCACCTGCCCCGGAGGAGATCCACATGGTGTGGCAGACCTCTCCTGGCCTGCCCGTTGCTCCCCTCAGCAGTGTACTTCGATGATCTGCCTGTTCTGCTCCCCACTCTGTCCCTGGTGAATCCTTTCACCCTTCGCATCTCTGGCCTATATCCCAGTTCTGTATGAATAAATAAATAAATCTTTTAAAAAAAAAAGATGTAGTACATAAACACAATGGAATATTACTCAACAATCAAAAAAGGTAAATACATGCCTTTTGTAGCAACAATGATAGAGTTGGAAAGGATCATGTTTAGTGAAATAAGCCAGAAAGAAAAGGAAAAATACCAGATGGCTTCACTTATAGCAGGAGTATAAAGGACCAGGGGAGAAAATAATAATAATGAACAACTATATACCAGAAACATTTTACGGGGGTGGACTGTGGAATGTTATCAAAAATGGTGGGGGGGATGTGCACTAGACTGTGGTGATGGCACATGGGTGATTTGGTGATGGGAAGCCTACAGGGATTACAACTGAGATGGAAAAAGGCACAAAATGATGTAAAAATAAACTATTATTAAAAAAAAAAGTCAGTAGCCGTCCTATACACAACCATCAGAAGAAGTAGAAGTCAAAAAGCCATCCTCTTTACAATAGAAAAAAAATAAGTAAAATACTTGGGAATAAACCTAAGAAAAGAGGTGAAGGACCTATACAATGAAAACTGAAACCCTGATAAAAGAAATACAAGAAAACACAAGGAAATGGAAAGGCATCCCCTGCTCAGTATCCCCTGCTCATGATTGAAGACTTAACATCATTAAAATGAACATCCTACAAAAAGCAATATACAGATTTAATGCTATTTCAATAAAAATCTCAATGATATTCTTCAAAGAAAGAGAACAAATATTGGTGAGTTTTATATGGAACCACAAGAAACTTCCAATAGCCAAAACTCTCCTGACTAAAATGAAAGAAACCGGAGGCATCCCAATCCCAGGCTTCAAGCTATACTACAAAGCCATAATAGTCAAAACTGCATGGTACTGGAACAAGAACAGACATACAGACCAATGGATTCAAAAAGAAAACCCAGATAAAAACTCACAGGCTTATAATTCCTGACAAAGGAGCAAAGAATATGCAATGGGACAAACAAAGTTTGTTCAACAAATGGTGCTGGGAAAATTGCACTGCTGCATACAAAAAAAAAAAAAATGAAGCTAGACTACGACCTCACACCATGCACAAAAACCAACTTGAAATGGATTAAAGAACTAGACATAAGACCCAAAACCATAAAATATCTAGAAGAAAAGGTAGGCCAAACTCTGCATGACATACACCTCAATAATATCTTTAAAGATACATCACCCAAAGTAACAACAGTGAAGGAAAGGATAAACAGCTGGGACTACATCAAGTTAAAGAGCTTCTGTACAACAAGAGAGACACTACACAAAACAAAGAGATACCTCACTGATTGGGAGCAAATATTTGTATACAATACTAATGACAAAGGACTGATCACAAGGTACACAAAAAGCTGATGAAACTCAACAAAAATAAAATGAAAAACCCCATCAAAAATGGGCAGAAGAACTACAAAGACACTTCTCCAAAGAAGAAATGCAGAAGGCCAGCAGGCATATGAAAAAATGTTCATCACTTGTAATAAGAGCAATGTAAATTAAAACCACAATGAGATACCATCTCACACTAGTGAGAATGGCACATCTTAAAACAACTAGCAACAACAAATTTTGGAGAGAATGTGGAGAAAAAGGAACTCTCCTACACTGCTGGTGGGAATGCAAGCTGATACAACCACTATGGAAAGCTGTGTGGAGGTTTCTCAAAAGGTTAAAAATAGAGCTTCCATATGACCCAGCAATGCCACTCCTAGGTATATAACCAAAAGACACAAAAACATTGATTCAAAAAGACACCTGCACCCCCCATGTTTATTGCTGCTGTCTTTATAATAGGGAAGACATCAAATCAACCCAAATGCTCAAAAGTGGATGACGGGATTAAAAAGATGTGGTACATATATACACAATGGAATATTACTCAACAATCAAAAAAAGATAAATTCATGCTTTTTGCAGCATCATGGATGGAGCTGGAAGGGACCATGCTTAGTGAAATAAGCCAGAAAGAAAAAGAAAAATACCAGATGGTTTCACTCATAGCAATAGTGTTTGGGGGTGGGGGTGGGGGTGTGGGGGAGTGGAGAAACAAATGTAATACAGTAAAATAAAAATAAAACAATGCACAGCTATAAACCATAGACATTTTACGGGGGGAAAGGGGAATGGGATCAGAACTGGGGTGGGAAGAGTGCACTGGACTATGGTGATGGCATGTGGGTGAGTTGGTGGTGGGAAGCCCATGGGGATTACAACTGAGATGAAAAAATGCACAAAATGAAGAATGTAAAAAAGTAAAAAATATAACTACAGAAAGAAAATGATAAAAAAAAGTTAACTGTTAACTGGAAATAGATCAAAGATTTCAAAGCAAGAGCTAAAACTAAAAATCTCATAGAAGAAATCACACAGGAAAAACTTCATGACATAGATTTGGCAGTGGTTTGTTGGTAATGACAGCAAAAACAAAGGCAAGAAAGGAAAAAGTTGTACTACATGAAATTTAAGTGCACAGTGTAAGACATAACAGAACGAAAAAGCAAGCCATGGAATGTGAGAAAATATCTGCAAATCATACTTCCAATAAGGGGTTAATATACAGGATATATAAAGAACTTCTGCAACTTAAAAACAAAAGAAAATCAGATAACCTCATTAACAAATGAGCAAAGAAGGTATTACCAACAAGGATATACAGATAGTAAGTACATAAAGAGATGTTCAACATCACAAGTTATTATGGAAGTACAACTAGAAACCACAACAGGATATCACTTCACACCCATTAGGTGTGAAAAACTAGAAAAAAACATGTTGGCAACAGGAACCTGAATACACTGTTAGTATAAATGTAACATGGTGCAGCCAATACAGAGAAATACATGGCGATTCCTAAAGAGCTAAAATAGAATTAACACATGGTTCAACAATCCCACTTCTGGGTATGTACTTACAAGAACTCCAAGTAGGGACTCAAAGAAGGATCTGTACACTTAGTTCAAAGCAGTATCGATCACAATACCCCAAAATGGAGGTCACCAAGTATCCATCAGTGGACACTTGGTATAAAATATTTTAAATGTAAACATTTAAGTATAAAATATTTTAAGTGTTAAATTATGAAATACTACATGGTTCTAAAATGGCCTTAGTTACCCTGGTATCACTAATTTGATAATATAGAGTGAAGTAAATTGGATTACAGCCAAGAAGACTCAAAGTAGAAATTTAGCAAAAATCTGTTTTTCAATACCAGAAAAAGAAAGAAATTTTAAGGACTTCATAACACAGGCTTCCATCAGATACGTGCTTAATCAATGTTAAGGAGGCAGGATAGCCAGAGGAAAGGGGCTGCACAAAGATTTTATCACACTGATACCAACCCTGGCACCACCACTTCTTATGTCATCTTCAGTACATCTTAACAACTTTCTGAGCCTGTTTATTTTTCATATGAGCAGACCCTTCCCTTCCTGTTAGAGGAATACTGCAGCACTGAGGAATAAAGAAAGTAACAGGCTTTCAGGGTTTGACGCAGTTTGTTTTCAACCAGTACATAATTCTCTCCTTTGGCTGCCCTAAAATGTGGTCTGCACTTCCCTGCAATCAACCTTCAGCCAAGCACTTGCCAGTCCCTCAAGTGGTTCCTCTGTTAAGATCTGAACAGGTAAACTAGGTCATAACAGCATGAGTGGCAAGGCTAAGGCAGATCCAAAGATGTGGAAATTTTTGGTAAGGAGCAGACAGCAGAAATCTAATGCTCACTCCCTTCCATGCTTCTACTTTGATCTCAAGTAGACGGCTAAGAACTAAGGTGGTGCATAAAATCCAACCCTTGGTAAAGTCATATAGGTGCTTCTGCTGCTACCCCAGTCCATAAGAATCCCTGATACTTGCTTTGACCAATGCCCTTATCTGATGGATAGGCTCTCCCAGATGAGGTAACTAATTATATTTTAATGGATTATAATGGCTTCCAGACACCAGAGTTGGAGTATCCCACAATATAGCAGCTCATTTGATGATACAATTTTGAATAAGTAGTACTAGGACCCTTGTGAATCAGAGAATTCAAATGTTGATGCTAAAAGAGACATGGTCATACAAAGTTAGGATCCTGCCAGAGTTCTTAAGTTAAAAGAAATCCTTCAATTCAGTCTGACCAGAAATGACCCAAGACAGGGTTTTCCTAACATTCTTAGTTACCCCACAAACAGTTGTCTTGGTTTCCCTTCATGCAAGGGAAATGCCTACCACACCATAGCACCAACCAGTTTTCTTCTTCCCTCTATTCTATCCCCAGATCCTTCCAGAAACACAGGAGACTCGTCACTGTGCCCCCAGCCCAACTCCCACTAGTGCCCAGATGAGGATCTCTGAACATGGAAGGAAAATAAGTGGTTTTAATCCATTGCTGTAATGGCCTTTTGTGACTGTAAAGAAATCACCACCCTTCCTGGGATCCCAAGGTGTACCAGAAACCTACCCTCTGCATGCATGTTTAACTGTCCAAGAGGGACTGTGACAGTTCAGAACACTGACCAGTCCAACCCACAGAGTAAGAGATAAATTGCTAGCATCAGAGATCTGCTGATAGTTTCTTTTATTTTTCTTGCAAAACACAAATGGGATTAAATGAAGGTTTACCAGTTATAGCCACTGAGGACACATGCTTTCATTCCTCTTGAAGAATAGAGGAAAGGGGTTAGGAGTTCTATTAATATGCAGGCGCTTCAGGGAGATGCAAACCGGTTCTTTTCTTCGGTATTCCCCCATCTAACTGAACTTAAATGTGGGGAGGCAGTAGGAACAGTACATCAGTCACCGGCACTGTCATCAGCATTGCCAGAGAGGTCAAGGGCAGACATCATGGAATCAGACAGCTTGCTGGCGAGTTTATCTGCAGATGGAAAAATATATGCAGTCACTTTGTGACCAGCTTGCCAAAGAAGGCCTACGGAAGTTGGCATACATCTACCTTGGTCTGCACTGAGCTCCCAAGCTAACTGACTTACCTCCCACCACTAAAGAAAACACTGATAAGCTGTCAGTAGCCTCATATGTAGACTCCTTTATCTCTCTATGAAATGATCACTTGAATAAAGCTGCTATCTCTTAGTGTCAAACTCACTGGGCTTCAAGTACTTTTATCCCTGCCTAGTATCAAAACAGCAAAATTCTTTTTACTGTGCTAAACTTAGCACTCTGCTACTACCCTCAAAACTCTCACAGCAAAGGGACAGCATAGTTGTAGGAGCTTTGAGCCTGAATACTCACCTCACATCCTTCTGTCACACCCTACTGACCCTCAGGATTCCCCTCAAGCAATACTACCTCCAGGAAGCTTTCTCTTGTCACCAGCACAATCTGCAGGCTAGGCTAGGGTCCCCTGCTATGCTTTCTGTGCCTTCATAATGATTAGTCTGTGTTGCCATCAGATAATCCCTTGTCTTCTCACCACTCCCCAATAAACCTAGGAGTTGAACGGCAGCTCATCTCTAAATTGCCAGGACTCAGTGTAAAGCCAGGTCAAGAGGGAATGGTTATGAACACAGCCTGGTTTTCAAAGAACAGGGCTTATGGAGTTAATCAATTCTAGGTTCATATTTGGACTCCATCAAAAGTCTTAGCTTGAATATTTCTGGGCATAAACTTCCTCACATCACAAATGAGGATAAGACTTTTACAATGAGTTCATGAAGATTAAATAGCAAGAAGATTTAAATGGACCGGTCACTCAATGACCACCATTAAAATGAAAGAAGTTCTTTTGTGAATTGACATAGAAATACCCTTAATATACATTTAATTAGAAATGATATGGCAAAACTGGCTGGTGATCAAACTCATGCTGCACTGGCTACAGATAGCTTCACAGTACTGTGCTTTAACCCACTGTGCCACCAGGGAGGGCCCTCGTCTGTCAGCTTCTTAACACATATAAAGCAGCTGATAAATAAAAGGGGACTAGTTTATACACAGAGAAGGACAGTGTTCTCTCAAAGAACAGCATCAGCATCAGTTAGGAAGAGGTCAGAAAAACCAATTTTCACTCTCCATAACCAACCTATTCAATTAGAAACTGGCCATGGGTCCCAGATATCTTACAAGTCCTATAAATGATTCTAAAATAAAATTTTAAGGACACTTTGATAGTAGGTAAGCCTGCTGACCCATTCCTGTCCACTAACCCTGACCTACAGCTGGACACATAAAGATGATCATTCACGAGTCTCTAGTCAAAACCTTAGGTGGGCCCTTTTTGGAGCACAGAGTGGTCAACTGCCCCTACCTGTACGCTTCTGCAACTTTTTCTTATTCTTCAAGGCAGATGCCAGGGCCTGGCCCTGCTGTAGGGGGTCTGTTTCCATGATCTTCTGCAGCATTGGGCGGTAGTCTACCGGGCAGGTGTGTATTATGCCATTGTTTCTGGGGTGGTGGTCCACATTGCGCTTATCCCACCCCTTCTGATGACGGTTTGGGTTGGTGCAATACCCAGTGAGCTCTCCAATCTGGGGAAAGAAATAGGACAATGGTGAGGTCTTGGCCCCCAGAGTACCTCCAAGACTTCTTCAGAGAAGGGAAAGACAGACTTGCAAAATGACGGGAAAGCCTAAAGCTAGGCAGAATAAAGCTCCAAGTTCTATCAAAGACTAGCAGATTTAACCTCTCAGTCCCAGTCTGTTCATCTATCAAATGGGGAAAGACAAAGAGTATTTGCATGACTTTTACAAGGATAAAATGAAAAAGTAGAATTGACTAGTGTCAGTTGGTATCAAAATGGTTTCATGGTCAACAGACCTTTCAAGGTCTTACTCTATGTAATAAATAGTTCCTGACACCTATTATGTACCCAGTTCTTTGTGAGGAAATGTTAGACAAACCAATCAGATGTAACACCATGTTTGGAAACAACTGAGCTAACGATTATACAACAAAGTCAGGACATGGTAACTGCCTACTAGAGAGTTGCAGTGACAGAGACTGGAAGGTTGGGGATGGTTAACATACATCTACTGATGGAAAGGTGATTCCTGAATGAACCTTGGAAAAGCATAGCACATTCTTGGGCACCAAAAAGGATGTCTATCTGGCTGTTTGGAAGGCAGGTAGGTAACTAGTGCTAATACTGACAGAAAGATCACTGTGTATCAGATGCCATTATACGCACATACATATGTGTGCATATTATATATTTGTATATGAACACACACATACACTAAGTCATTAATTGTTACAACAATACTACAATAAACAGAGCACCTAGGTCAAAAAACTAATAAGCAATAGAATAATTCTAAGCACTCAGGTTCCAGAGTCCATATGTATGACAACTTACTACACTATAGCGCAGGAAGCATAGGCTACCATATTGTCCAACTCTGGGATGTAGAGGTGAATTACCATTAACAATATACATACCTAAATTGTATCACCCAGAATGGATCAATGAAGTGGCCCTATTCAGGGCTCTGAACCTAGATTTGGAACTTACAGTATATAGTAGGGAACTACTTTAGGTCCCTGAGGAAAAAAAAAAAGTATATTCTAAGACTAATGGGCTCAGTTAGAAAGATGAAGAGGGGTAGATGACTTTAAATACACAATTGATACTGATGTTCCTGTAAGCAACCAGGGAACCTTTGAAACTGTGAAGATGGGGCCTGACCTTTACCTCCACACCCCAGCCATACTTGGGAAGTGCCCAACCATCCAAGCACTCAGCCACCAGCATCTCAAGAACAAATTCTCCAGTTTGAGTCTCACAGGACCATGCCCTATGTCAGTGATCTTTAGCAACCCTCAGATAAGTACCCTGACCCCAGGCTCAGATAGCAATACCTCAAAAACAGACGCACTGTAAGGCTGTGTAAGGTCTTGCCCTTCACTGTTGGCCCCTAGCCATCCTCAAAATGCATAGTCATCCTTTCACAGAGACACCAGCATCTTGGGAGCAGATGTACACTGCAGTCTAGGCTGTTCAGGGTTTTACCCAATATCAGGATGCACAGTTACCCTCCAGGAGGCATACATGAACACAGAAGAACCCACCCGTCCCTTGAAAACAAGTGTAGGCCCCAGTGCAGGCCATAAGGGTCCTGCCTGAAAACAGCAACCCCCAGCTACTCCCTGGATAAAAATATATTTCACCCAACCCTCCCAGCCAGCAGAACCAGGCCCAAAGCCACTGACACCAGGCAAGACATAAAGACTTCTCTGAAAAAATACTAACAGCAACATAACCCTCCACGTAGCTCCTGCCAACCATCCTGGCCAATGAAACCATGACAGTAAGAGCTTTGGGGGAGACCCTATGGCTACCCAGATCCTAAAAGGTCCCAGCAACTGTACCAAACCATTAAGTAATTGACCAAACAGAGATAGAGAAAGATGTACACACAACAAAAGCCCTAACTACAGCAGAGTAAACCCAAAGCAAGCAATGCCAAAAAAAAGAAAAATACAAATGCCAAGCAAATCCTCAGAACAGCAATATATCACAGAGAGAAAATTAAACCCCAGAAGCAAACCACAAAGACATGGAAAACCTTTTATACCTATAAGACACAAAAGTCAAAATTGCCATGATTAAGAAAATTAAAGAATCAGAACAATTCAAAGAAAAATGTCAAAATAAAACTCAGAAAAGGAAATGAATGCTATGAGAAACACAATCACCAAACAGAAGAAAATCACCAAACAACAAAGTAAGAGTATTGCATGATGTCAAAAGATCAATGAAGGAAATAAATTCAGAAGAAAGTGATGGCGTACAATAAATCAAATGAAAGAACAAACCAATAATCTCAGAAGTAAATATGAGGAAAGAATCAAGGTAGAAAGAAAGAAGAGCTATATAAAGAAAAAAGAATGAAGAAACACCTTAAGAATTATCTGACACCACGAGGAGAAGAAATATGATTACAGGAACCGCAGAAGGAAAAGAGACAAGGGAACTAAAAATCCATTTAAAGAAAAAGGGAAAACTTTCCAAACTTGAAAAAGGAATGGACCAAAGAAATACAGGATGAAAAAAAGAAAAACAAACAACTGAAATAAAAGGAGACAGCAAGACACACAGTAGTAGTTTCCAAGAGCACAAGACAAACTAAAAATAATGAAGCTGATGAGGGGAAAAGCAGATATCCATAAAGAACATTGCTTAAGCGAACATTAGACTTCTCTGAAAAAACACTATGGGCAAGAGGATGGAGTGACATATTCAAAATACTCCAAGACAAAAAATTGCCAGGCAAGAATACTTAATCTTACAAAGTTCTCATTCCTGTATGAGAGAAATAAGGACCTTCTCAAAGGTCCTTACGATGTTTGCTTCCACAAAAGCTCCATGAAAGACATATTAAAAGGAGATTTAAGACTTAAAGCAAAGAGAGGAATGAACACAAACACCTGAACACGGAGTTAAAAAGAACAACAAAAGTAGGAACAAAATAGTGGCAACGGACTTTTAAATACAGTCAAAATCACTGTAAACGTCAATGCACTGCACTCAACAATAAAGAGAAAGAGTATCCAGCTGAAGAGGGAAACAAAATCCAACCTTCTGATGCCTCCAGGAAACATAACTATGTTTCAAGGATAAAAGAGAGTAAAAGTAAAGGGATAGAAAATATCCTACAAGTAAATGTCACCCAAAGGAAGGCAGGAACAGCCCTATTTAGATCAGATAAAATAGACTTCCAGCTGAAAAAAGGTTAACACAAGGCAGGGATGGACACTATATAATGATTATGGGAGCACTACAACAGGAAAACACAACACTCATGAATATATACTCACCAAATGAAGAAGCACCAACATATTTCAGGTAACTACTATCAAATCATAAAAGAAATATAGAAAATAAATGTAGTTGGAGACTTAACCTACTCTCACCAATGGACAAATCAACAAGACAGAAGATAAAGAAAGATATTAATAACCATAAACAAAGAACTAGACCACATGGGTTTAATAAAACCTTATAGGAGACTGTACCCAAAAGTGATCAAATACATACTTTTCTTAGGTACACATGGGTAATTTTCCAGGACTGACCACCTACTGAGTCACAAGAGAAGCATGAGCAAATTCATAAAGATTTAAATCAACCAAATACCCCCTCTGAACTATAAATAAACTACAAAATAAAAGCAAGGAAATAATCAAAATACAATCACAGGGTTAGTGAGGAAATTAAAGATATCAAGAAATTCCTGGAAAAAATGATAATGAGGGCAAACACCTTTCAGTGCATAGGGGACAAAGCAAAAGCAGTTCGAAGAGGGAAGTATGGAAAAATATAGGCCCACATTAAGAACTTAGAAAGAGCCCAAATAAACAACCGTATCTCCCATCCCAAGAAAACAGAAAAAGAAGCAACAAATCCAAAACCCAAAAGGGAGGTAAAAACAAAAATTTAGCAGGAGTAAGTGGAACAGAAATCAAGACAACTCAACAAATCAACAAAAACAAAACCCGGTTCTTCCAAAAATTAACAAAACAGACATTTTAGCAAGGCTTCCTAAAAAGTATAGGGGGAAAAACTCAAACAAATAGGATCAAAAATGAAAGAGGAGAAGTTACAACACTACAGAAAAACAGATAAGAGACTACCAACATGTATATGCAACAATTTCAACAACCCAAATGAGATGTCCAGATGCTTAGAATTATATAATCATCAAAAGCTGAATAGGGAAGAAAAAGAAAAATCTGAACAAACCAAAGAAACTGAAATAGTAATCAAAATTCTCCCAAAAAACTTAAGTCCAGGACCAGATGGCTTCAAAGTGAATTCCACCAAACCTTTAAAGACAAATGAATACCTATTCTGCTCAAACTCTTTCAAAAAAAATCAAGAAAGGAATTCTTCCTAACATATTTAATGAAACCAACATTACACTATAATACCAAAGCTAAAAAACTGACAACACAAAGAAAACTACAGACCAATCTCACTAATGAACACAGATGCAAAAAACTCAATAAAATCTTAGTAAACCAAATACAACAATGCATGAAAAAGATTATATACTCTGACCAAGTCATATATACCAGAAACATAATGATTCAACATCTGAAAAATCAATCAACATAAATCACCACGTTAACAAAAAGGGAAAAAAAAAACACATAGTCATATCAATAGACTCTGAGAAAGCATTTAATTAGATTCAGCACCCATTCATGATGAAAACCCTTGAAAAATTGGTAATAAGTAGAAAGTATTTTAACATAATAAAAGACATATATAACAAACCCACAAATAATATTATTCTCAATGGTGAAAAACTGAAAGCCTTTCTACTAAGATCTGGTACAAAAATCAAGGATGTGCGTTCTCACCACTACTATTCAACACAGTATAATAGCTAGAGCAATTAAGACAAGAGAGCAGTAACAGGAAATAAAGCTATCATTACTTGCAGATCATATGATAATATATAGAGAGAACCCTAGAGACTCCATGGAAAAACTAATGAAAACTAGAAACCAACAAAGTAGCAGGACAAAAAAATCAGTTGCCTTCATATATACAAATAATGAACTATAAGAAGTAGAAATTAAAAAGCCACTCCATTAACAATGTCACCAAAAAGATTCAATACCTGGAAATAAACCTAATGAAGGAGGTGAAGGACCTACACAAGGAAAATTATAAAACATTGTTAAAATACAAGGAACAAAAAAAAAAAAACAAAAACAGAAAGACATCCCCTGCTCATGGATTGGAGTAATCAACAGTATCAAAATGGCCATCCTACCAAAGCAATTTATAGATTCAGTACAATCCCAATAAAAATACCAATGGCAGAGCCTCCCTGGTGGCACAGCTTTTACTAAGAAGCTAAAGCCACTTCAGCATGAGTTTGATCCCCGCCCCAGAGGTGACCCACAAGGCGCGGCAGACCTCTCCCGACCGTCTCGTTGCTCCCCTCAGCAGTGTACTTGTCAGTCAGCCTATTCTACTCCCCACACTGTCTCTGGTGAATACTCTCATTGCCGCTGCACCTCTGGCCTGTACCCCATTCATAAATAAATAAATCTTTTTAAAAATACCAATAGCATTCTTCAAAAAATAGAAAAATGATTACTGAAATTCACGCATACACACAACAACAACCAATTAGCCAAAGCTCTCCTGACTAAAAGGGGGAAAAACAGAAGTGCAACACTTCAAACTATACTATAACATCATAATAATAAAAACAGCATGGTACTGGAAGAAAAACAGACACACCAACAAATGTACTAAAACCCAGAAATAAAACCACATATTTATGGACAACTAACACATAACAATGGAACAAAGTATATTCACTGAAACAAAAGAAGCCTCATCAATAAATGTTGTAGGGAAAATTGGACTGCCACATGAAAAAGAATGAAACTCAAACTATATCACACCATACATGAAAATCAATTCAAAATGCATGAAAGACCCAGATGTAATACCTGAAACCATAAAATACAAATAAGAAAACAAGCAAAGGACTCAATGACATAAATCTCAGGAACCTCCTTACAGACTCACTTTCAGATGCAAGGAAAGCAAAGGAGAAAATAAACAACTGGGACTACATCAAACTGAAAACTTATGTACAGTCAAAGAGACAGTGACAAAAACAAAGGGGCTCCCTACTAATGGGAGAAAATATTTGCATACCAAAAATTCTCATTGTCACTTATTATCAGGGAAATATAAATCAAAACCACAATGAAATACTACCTCATACTTGTAAAAATGGCCCATATCAAAAACACCAGAAATAAATACTGGAAGGGTGTAGAGAAAAAGGAACCCTATTAAACTGTTGGTAGGAATGTAGACTGGTCTAGCCTCTATGGAAAGTTATGTGTAGGCTCCTCAAGCTACTAAAAATGAAGCTACTGGGCCCTCCCTGGTGGTGCAGTGTGTTAAAGCACAGCACTGAGAAGCTAAAGCCTCTTCAGCATGAGTTTGATCCCGCCCTGATGTGACCATATGGTGCAGCAGACCTCTCCTGGCCCTCCCGCTGCTCCCTTCAGCAGTGTACTTCTTCAATCTGCCTGTTCTGCTCCCCACTCTGTCTCTGGTGAAGCCTCTCACCGCTCCTGCACCTCTGGCCTGTACCCCAGTTCTGTACACATAAATAAATAAATCTTGAAAAAAAAATGAAGCTACCATATGACTCAGCAATTCCACTCCTAGATAAATACCCAAAGAACATATAAACACTAATTCAAAAGGAAACCTGCTCTTCTATGTTTATAGCAGCACTATTTATTAGAGTCAAGATATGGAATCAACAAGTATCCCAGAACATATGATGAAAAAGAGGTGCATATATACAATGGAATATTGTTCAGCAATCAAAATTGGTAAACTTGCCATTTGCAGCAACATGCATGGAGCTGGAAGGAATAACTAAGTGAAGTGAGTAGGAAAATGAAAGATAAGTACTGGAAGGTTTCACTTATAGGTGGAACATAGAGAACAAATAAAGGATCAGACAAAGGCAAACTGTAAAACCAACCCTTGAAATTTGACCATATCTGAGGCATCCAAGAAGGGAAGGTGGGGGGGATTGACAGGGGGGAAAGATGGGAAGGGAGGAGAGAGGGGGTGGGGGAGGGAAGGGGAAGGGAGGGAGGAAGGGAGAGAAGGGGAAGGGGGGAGGGGAGGGAATACGGATGGGAAGATGAGTGCAATGGAGTATAATGGAGATAATGGAGGCTCACTATCTTTTAAGGAAGACTGGCAATAATTTCCTTCCAGGACTCCCTGCCTCCATCCTGGTCCTTCTCTCTCTAATCTGATTTTTATCCTAGATGCCAAAGTGATAGTTCTAATACACAAACCTGACCATGCCAGTCCCTGCTTAAGAAACCCTCCTGAAATTATATGACCATGAAAAATAAAGGACAAAACTTTAAGTAATAATGTGGATCTACAAGATGAATTTATAAGTACAATAAACAAAGTACAGTATGAGTAGTATGCTACTATTTAAAATAGATATCAGTATCTGCTTGTGTGTGTACGTGTGTGTGTGGAAGATGAAAAAGCTCTGAAACAACACATAAATCACTAATAATGACTACTTCCAAAGAGGGGACGGTGTGAATGGGAGACAGAAACAGGAGACTTACTTTTCACGGTATATCCTTTAGTACCTTTAGTAGATGTTATACCATGAACAAAAATAAATTTTATAACATATACATGCATTACCAAGTCAAAAGTTAAGTAAAATCAAAACATATTTAAAGTAAACAAAATGGAAAAAATTTAAAGTTTTGACCTAGAAAAAAAAATAAACAACTTTCAGTGTTTACCTGTTACTGGAAGTTTAATGTCAAATTCGAGGATTCTATGGAATTACTCAGAGTCATCTTTCCATCCCTCTACACTAACTCTAGCCACCCCACATCATTTACGATTTTCCCAAAACATCATGCTCTCTCTCACCCTTTCGGGCCTTGGCTTGAAAACAGGATTGGCCCTTGCCTGTGCTGCTGCCCCATCTGCTCAGAAAATTCCTCAGCTTTCAAGATGTGGCACAAGTATCAAAGTCTTCAAGGAAAACTTACCTGACTCACAAAGTACCATAGTTAGGGCCCTTAGAGCCATGCTTTCCCAACCTTTGTCTCCACCCTTAGTGGATATGCTTTGCAGCACAGTGCGGATGTTTGGGTCTGAACCCCACTAAATTGTACCCTCCTGAAGTGCAGAGATGAGGGGACTGGCAGAATAAAAAAGGATTTAAGAGGCATACTGCTATACAAGTCTTGAATAGCAGTCCTCAGGCATATTGACTTGATCTTGCAGTAGGTGTTGGAAAGCCATGAAGGGGAGGTGACATGGTCAGATTGGGCCATTATAAATCAGTTGAGAGAGGAATGGAAACTTAGGGTAAGGTTACAGGGATGAAAAACAAGGTGACAGTTTCTCAAGAGAGGACAGTTTCTCCTTTAGGAAGGAGAAGCCATGGGACTTGGTGATGGTATGGTTTCCCAGATAGTAGTTAAGGTGGAGGAGTCAAAGGTACCCAAATTTGCATCTTGAGGAGGGTAGTTAGATAAGGATATCTACTATCTGGGCTGGAACAAGAACTGGGAAACCCGCTGGAGATAACTTACCTCCTCCTTGAATCTGCCATTGCTTGACAGAGAGTGCATCCTGCCAGGACCCCAGGGAGCCCACAGGAAATGACTCCCAACCATTACAGGTAGACTACACATGGGGGCCAGGTGGAAGAGACTGACCACTTCCCTGAGCCCTGGGTAAAGGAAAGGGTTGCCATGAAGAAAAGGGATAGGTACCTTATAAACCGTGGTTTTATTTTCTATGGCATCTGCTATTTTCACCAGCGGAGAATGGAGCCATTTGATATCCATTTCGAGTGGGTCCATGTCACCCAACAGTTCATCAGATTCTCCATTGGCCAAGCCTTTAAGACAACCAACACAACTGTCAGGGCCCCCTGGTCCTCCCTGTTATCAGCCCCCTGATCAGGCCTCAGTGGGAAGAATATGTTGTCACTTCGCAGGGGAGTTTCCAGGGAAGCAGGGAGAGAAAGTCCTTTCATTCTTCTGGAAGGCCACCAAAAAATGACTAAAGGCATAGGTTTTACAATAGGGCACTGGCCTGATGAACCTGGTCTATAAGACACAAATTCCTCATCTGGAAAATGGGGATAACACAAGTCCCATAACACAGAGCTACACAGAGCTACACAGAGCTACAAGTCACAGCAATGGATGCCTGTAATGCATTGACCTGGAACGGTGCTCTTAAAATATCAGCAACTGTGACTCCTTCTCCAGAAGAAGTCCTCTCTTCTTCTCCCTCTGTTCCCTTGCTTAGAACTAGTCTCCAGTGCAAACTACAAATGTACCTTTGTCTTGGTCTACACTACTTTCATGCCTGCTTTTAAATTTTACCTAGAATACTAATTCCCACTCAGTCTTCAAGACCCAACTTAGGGGCCAACTCCTCTAGTACACACTCACCATTAACCTCTCCCTCTTCTCAATTTATCAGAACTCAATTTTTATCAGAATGCATCATCACAAAAACAAGCTCAAATTCCTTCAACTGCTCACTCCATAGAAGAGAATAGAGTTCAGAAAGGGAGCTGACTTGCCTGAAGCCACATGAGGAATAAATTCTGAAGCAGGTTAAGTCTTGTCCTTAACTTTAATCCAAGAATACTAAAAGGCCCAGGACAGGAAAGACCTCAAGAAAATTAAAGGCCCAGGACTAGACCTCAAGAAAAATAAAGAAAACTAGAAGCTAGACCAGTAAGAAATGTTTACACTGTCCCAATGTTTCCACAGGCCCACAGAGTTTAAGCACCTTTCTTGCACAGGGTGGAGAAGGAAGCCTAAACCAGAGCTACAGATGGCAGACCAAGCTTCTTACAGGAGTTTCTAAAAGTCACACCTCAGTACCTCAGCAAATCATCATCCTAACAATAGCTAGTATTTGCCAATCATGTACTATATGCCAGGCACTGTTCCATGTGTTTTTACATATTAAGTCAATCCTCACAAATATCTTGTTGGGTGGGTGCTATTGTCCCTGTTTTATATATGACATTGAGCTATAACTGAGAAGTAGCTTATATGCAGCACCACAGACTAACAAGTAACAGAACTTGAATTTGACTCCAGGTAGTCCATTCTTTAAGCCACTGAGCTACTCTGAGTTGGGAGTCTTGCAGACAACAGGGAGGGAGAACTGGTTTGAATGCCACCTGTGCCTGCCATTGATAATGTCCCTTTCAACTAACACAATCTTTCTATGTCTCACCAATGCTGGTGAGAATATAAATTTCACCAGGAACAGCCATGAATAGCTAAGGAAAATCCATGGGGCAACATGAAAGAAAAGTTTGTGAAAGGAGTGTCTTATTTCCTGAGCTCACTGTGTACTCAGGAGTGTGCTGATTTCTTTCCATCTACCAGAAGCCCACAACCACACCATATGACTCATATTAGAATTGTTCACCTTGTGGGAAAAAATATTAAGCTTAGAGCTGGATAGCTGGATAAAAAATTTCCCCAAAGCCAGAATAGGGCCAAGGAAGGGAAGCCGTGTGGGATTTGCTAGCAGGTCCGTGTGCCTCAATAGGGCAAAACCAAGTACCAGATAGACAAGTCCTCTCCCCACTTACATTCCATGGTGTCTTCATTGGCCTGCTCGGTATCCTCAATGTCGAAGACCTCAGTCATCTCCTTAACAATCTCAGCACTGAGATGGGCAGGCAGAGTGTGGGTGGCAGGTGGGGGTGTATAGAAGCTGATCTTCCCACTGCATTGGTAATGGAAGGAAATTTGTGTGATGTCAGTAAGAGGTCAAGTGACCAGTCATAGAGGATGAGTTTCCATTAAGAAACAGTCAAGTATAAGAAAACTCAGAGAGTGGCTTCTGAACAAACAGTTGAGTTACTGGATAACCGCTGGGCCTAAATTCCTGAGCAGGATGTGACCTGGCCCTGGGACTTCCCAGGAGTGTTTCCAGGGGAGGGAAGACTTTCATTCTTGTTGGGAGTCTACATGACAAAGGACTAAAGGTTCAGTGCCACTGCACTGAACACAGATGAGCTCATCTACAGAGCCTAATGCCCAATAGCCCTTACCTCACCCAGTCAGCCAGGACAGCTTTTGCTGCCTGTTCCTGACTGTATATGCCTCCTTTCTTCTTCTTCCCCAAGCGCTGGGCCACTGCTGTCAGAAAGTTCTCAGTGGTCTGGAACTCAGAGATGCCATAATAGTTGGAAATCTGTGACAGGAAGAAGTCGTTAGAAAGAATGAAAGACCTGTGGAATGGGGAAGGGTGTGAATAAGAACCTATGTACCTCCTCCAGATTGCAGCGCTGCAGTATGGTCTCCACTGGGGTCACAGGGTCCAGCAGCTTCTGCACATGGATGCAGTTACGAAGAATGGTGCCCACCTCTGAGTTGGGTCCTGGGACAATGCCTGGTGCATCCAGCAGTCTGATGAACTTGTCTAGGTAGACCTCCTGCATAAACCTGAGTTAGGAAAGGGTAGAGCAAGCATGCAGAGTATCGATGAGCTCATTTACGTTTGGCAGCCTCAAGGCAAAGCACATGGTTGGGAGAAGGGATAAGGTATGGACAGTGTACAGACGGGGGTGGAGAAATGAGGGTCAGGGACTCTAGCACCACACTGATATGGGCCTGATTCTAATTTAACTTCCACCATTGAAGCTGAGCTGCAGGACTATGGGCAAGCTTCTGATTCTCTGCCTCGATTGCTTTATCTATGAACTAGAGCCTCTTGTTGATAGCACAGCTTGTATTGCTATTAGGCAGATTGAAGGAGCTAAAGGAAAAAGCATCCAAGTGAGCATCTGGCCCAAAACCTAAGGTATACCAGGTAAATGAGGACTATTAGAATTGGAGGCTAGTCAACGATAAGTAAGGATAGGGGCTGAAGGTATGAAATTTGGGGAAATGGTAGGGTCAAGGAGTTGGAGTGTAAAGAGAGCAGACAGGTGCTTACTTGGTGATCCCAGGAACAGCTCCAACACTGCACGCACGGCTGCGCTTCAGGCTGTTGATCAGACTGCTCTTCCCAACATTGGGAAGACCTAAAAGGGAAAAGCAGGTGGCTCAGGGCAGGCAGGCCCCTCAGGAACATTTGGTCTAACCTGCACGCAGAGACCCAAGTAGGAGCAGTGAGCAGGCCATTAAGGAGTCAAAAAATAGAGCTGGGCCTCCTGTTTTCCTGCCCCAGGCTCTGACCAAGCCCCTACTTGGCCATTTTATTCCTCCCCTCCATTTGTGAGCAAAATGGATAGACACTCATCCCCAGCCTACAAGCAGCCTGGGAGAGGAGCTCAGTACAAGATCTCTGTGGCATGACCCAGAGGACATATATCAGGAAAGGTCCATGACTGAACCATTTCCTGGCTGGTGGGAAAGGGGGCTCATCTCCAGCTGTCAGTCTCTGGGTAGCTAGCTGTCTGCCTGTGATGTTTTTCTGTTTGGGTGTCTATGAGTACCTCTCAACTCACAGATGTCTTTATAGGTTTCTCATTTATAAGGTTTTATTCACACTGCTCACTTTTCTCTAAGTGCTAAACTTTACATGTAGACTGTTCTCTCATGAGTGTGCCTGCATGTACCCCTTGTTTGTGGAGTCTGCCCCTTCGTCCATCTCTTGTTCTTCTGGTTCTTCTCATTCTAAACATCACTACTTTTTGTATTTTAGTCTTTCTCACCCACTCAGTCTTTTTCTCTATCATTTCTCTGTGCATTTCTATATCTAATCATTCTTCTTCTGCCAGCATGTCTCATGTCTCTCATTCTAGCAACTGTCCTTTCTATTCTCCCCACCCCCACCCAATTCTGTCTTTTCAATTCCTTCCATGTAAATTACCCTGTCTCCTTCTGTACCTGTTCCTTCTCTTTGTGGACCTACCTCTCTGTATGTATGCCGCTCTGTGTCTTTTTCTCTATCTGTATCTCCCTAACCCTCTTTCTTCCAGTCTATTTCTACCTTTCTACCTATTTACCTGTCTCATGGTATACACACACACACACACACACATATATATATATATATGTGTATATATATATATATACGTATCCATACATTTATCTCTGTCTATGACTCTGGGTATGAGACTGAGTCTGAGCGTTGAGTGTATATGGGCACATGTATCTATCTCCATTGCTTGATTGCCTTGGGGGGAGTAGAGTTAGGGGTGTGTGGGGGAAGGAGACTTATGTGTTTTCCTTTGGGGTTTGCCTCTAAGCATGTCAAGATATGTAGATCAGTCACATCTCTGGCTTCATGTGTATGTAATCCTGTGTATGAGTTCCTGTATCTACACATTGTTCCTAACTACTTTAGATACATGTTTCTGAAACTATATATCCCTGTGTTTCTCTCTCTTTCGTTCACTGGGTATACACATCTACCTCTACCTGTGTGGAATCTAGCCCTTTCAGTATCTTCTACAGACGTCTGTGTACATGTTTGTTTCTAGGTTCCTTCTGGTACTCCTCTTGATTATATCTCCCTCTCTGCAGGCCTCTGTCATTTAGTCTCTCCTTTCCACTCCAAGCCAACATACCATCTGGCTTCCCAGTTCTTCGTCTATTCAGTATATGTATCGATACCTTTTCCCTCAGTGTCCCACTCTACTCTCCAATCGCTTCCTTTCCCAGAGAGTCTATCTCTGTCTCTCTCGAGTTCCCTCTTCCTTTTCCACTGTACCCCACTCAGTGCTTCGGGATCAGACAGGCAGGCCCAGCTTTGAGCATCCACTTAGCTGTTGTTCCCGGGGCTAAACTTCACAAAACCCCTTTCCTTTCTCTAGAACTCAATGTTCTTATCCATTAAAAAAAAAATCCATTAATCTGTCCTTCCCACAGCTCTGACAGGATGAGATGGGGCCAACACCAAGTCCAGTCCCAAGCATCTGGTCCATGGTCCTAACACTCTGTGCATGGTAATGAGTCTGACTAGGCCTTCCCATGCCCGCAAATGCAAATTACAAATCATACATTGAATCACTCCTCTCTTCTTTAAAAAAGTAAAAGTTCCCCAATAAGCCTATGCCCAAGAAAGGAGGTCAAACCCCATTCCCTCTCCCAGGCCTTACCCACAACACCCACACGGATATGGGTGCGCACTTCACCAAGGCGGCAATAGTTGCCCAAAACCCTCATGAGGTTTTCAGCTCCAAAGCACGCTTTGCTTTTCAGCAATGACTCAGAAGCCTGATCCACTGGCACACTGCAACGATTCTGGATAAAAAGGGGTATTACTGAAGAGGCATCAGATGGAAGATGTGACCTGAGCCCAGCTTTGCAACTTTCAGGGAAACTTTCAAGACCTCCCTATAATCACCAAAACCCCCAACCCAAAGCTTCTCATACAAGTGGGATTCTCATACAGGCCTTCAACACCACTATTTTTCAGCCCCATAGGGCTGTTTGTCCACTGTCACTGCACCTTCAATCTTCTCTATCCCTATCACTAGACATATGTCTCTGGACTCCCTCAGAAAGAACAAGATGGTATTCCTGGCCTCTAGAGAGGGCAGGTTTGTGTTCCACCTCCGCCTCTCACAGGCATCTGCCTAGCAAATTCTACTTCCATTCTTTGGACTTCAGTGCCCCTATCTGCAAAATGGGAATATCCATTCTCCCTGCCCTTGGAGGAAAAAGATGCTATCTGGCCCATCTTCTCTTGATTTATCCTACACATGAAAAAGCCATTCCTGTCTCCCATAGCCTTGCTCCTGAGGCCATATCCCCTTACAAGATGCCCTTCTATGTCTTCCAATTTCCTTACCACCACAGGACCCCAAAACAGGAAGTATCCTAAACTGACATCAATAAAAACCAGATAGGCCTCCCTGGTGGCCTAGTGGTTAAGTCTCAGGACTATCACCACTATGGTCTGAGTCGGATCCCCAGTCAGTAAGCTAACTCACTTATGGCACAGCAGACTTCTCCTGTCTCAGCCAATGCTACCATTAGCAGTGTATTTCAGTACATCTGCCTGTTCTGCTCCCCACTATGTCTTAGTGAATTCTCTTACACCCTGCACCTCTGGCCTATATCCCTATTCTCTACGAAAAAAGAAGAAGAAGAAGATTAAGGGAACCAGTGGATGAAAAACAAATATATAGGAAGATAGAACTGAGTGTTTCAAACTTATGTTGTTGGTGTCACAACAGGGAGAGACAGAAACCAAAATTAGGAAACAATGGGTCGGAAAGGCTGAAATGTGGTACCACCAGAAACAATAATGTGCAACAGGAATAATGTGCACCCCGTCCCTGACCAGACTCTGGGTCCTTCCAAGAACTCATCGACCTTCTGTACCAGGTGAGCATGATTCCTTGAGAGAATTCAGTATGCAGGACTGGTGGGGAGGTAATGAGAGGAGCAGCCAGGGTTATCTAAGGTAATATTGGTATTCCTAAGATGTATTCATCACTCCTCTTCTGTCCAGACTCCCTGGGCTTTCTGTAGCTTGTAAGATTACTATAACCAAGAGAATACATGTTTCCTTGAATAAATACTGAGCACGACTAAAGTAGAATATATGTCACCTGGTGATACTTGCAATTAAATCAGTCATCGCCCAAAACACCCAACCCTCCACCATCTGGGCTTGACAGTTTTCTGAACAGTCTAACTGCTAACCAGAGTGCAATTTCACAGTGCCTGCCTACAGCCAGGGCCCACAACCCCCAGTCACTCTGCTTTGCCTGAGCCTTAGAAGAAAAACTATTCCCAAAAAACCCACTGAGAGCAGAAATAGGTTGTAGCTGAAGTGTAACTTGCGGTCTGGAACTTCTAGGAGAACATTTAATGTTCTACAGAAGTCGGTCTTGACCTCACAGGAAATTCTAGATCCTTCCTTTGTCCCAAGCAGCTACAATCCTCAGGGAGGCTATAGTCTTGTATTCCACTGCAGCAACCACCTCAACCACCAGTAACCATGGCCCCAAACCTGTAGTCTGAGTTTCTGGCCCATTTCCCCCCACACTGGCTCCATAAAGACAGTCATCCTAACGGTTATGAGGCTGTAACCAACACAACAACTGAAAGCACAGGGTCCGAGGCCAATACCCTAGGTCAATAAAATGTGACCTTCAATTCAATGAACCACCATTACAGCAGGACTGGAAAAGAAACAGTCTCGTTTGATCTATAGAAATAATCATAGAGCACCAACTATAATGAGGAGGCAGAGGAATTTGCCCCAATTGATGGGTCAAGACAAAACCCTGATTAAAAAAAAAAAAAAAGAGCAATGGATGAACAAAATGAGAAATACAACAAAGACAAAAAATGTGAAAAGTTTCAAATGGAAATAAAGAATAAAATAGTTAAACTAACAAAATGCAAGAGGGGTTTCACAGTAGACACAATGAGACAAAGGAACGAATCAACAAGATGGAAGATAGAATAGTAAAACCAGCCCAAACCACCAACAAGAATAAAGAATTTTTAAAAATTAAGAAAACATGAGACAGCATTAAGAAGGACAACATTCTCAACATTCCAGGAGAGAAACAGAAAGGAGCAGAATACCTATATAAAGAATTAATAATGGAAAATTTCCCCAAATTGGGGGAAGAAACAAACATGCAGACTTAGGAAGCTCACAGCATCCTAAGCAAAATAAACCCAAAGGACACATTCTGATAAAATGACAAAAAGTACAAGCTTATAGAATCCTGACAGCAACTAGAGAAAACAAAGTCACAAATAAGTGCCCATAACACTGTAAGTGTAATTCTTAGCAAAAACAAAAATAAAAACAAAAAACCTTAAAGGCTACCAGAGAATAATATGATATATTACAAGTTGAAGGCCAATTACCAAAGTGCTAGAGGCCCAATACAAGCCATGACACACTCCCAACCCTGAAAGAGATTAACCGACCCTGTCTTCAATTTACCAGGTTTTTGACTTGATGCTGAGTGCTGGCCTTGAAAGCCACAGTTGGCAGTTCATTTCGTAGGTAATTCAGCCACTTCTCTACAACTTCCTTGGGGACCAGGTCTGAAGAAAATAGGAACAGACAGGAGGTAAGGAAAAGATAACCTGGATGGCTCACTCCAAAGACATCTCCCCCACCAAAGGCTAAGCCCAACTCTTATCAACAGCCATCTATCTCCCCAGCCCTGCAAGACCTTGTCCAGTCCCCATGTGAAAGTTGGAAAGGACAACTGTTCCTTTGTAGGGAAGAGGAAAATTATCTTTTTGTTCTCAGATGTCTTTCTTCCAAGTTGGAATGTCAGAGTGTCCAGGTGCCAGATGCCTCCCTCAGATTATTTCTCATCTCCTCTCAGAACCAATATATGTTGTGTCAAGAATAACCATGACAAGAAATGACTACCATTTGTGAAGAGCTGGGTATATATCAACCACTTATTAATTCGCACAACCCTGTGTGGTTGGGACAATCACAGACCATTTTTTATCCAGAAAAAAATAAGGTCTCAGAGATGAGATATGATTTGTCCAAGATCACAGAAAAAATAAGACAGCACAACTGGTATAAAACACAAAACTGAATGACTCCTGGGTCCATAGCTCTTCTGTTCAAGACTGGTTCCAGCTCCAGGGAAACAGAAATTCTCTAGGTTGGCAAGTTACAGATAAGGTTCAAAAATGCAAGAACAGGGGACTGAAAGGTAGAGAGATTTGGACTCCACTCCCAACACTACACTGTGTGTGTCTGTGTGTCTGTCTGTCTTCTAACAAGTGACTTTACCTCTCATATTCTTGGCCTTAAAAATAAGAATTCCTAACGTGTACTATTGCACTGAGTAACACTGTACTGCTGGGTCTCAGTGTATGGTCTGTGCTAGACTTTTAAGAAGTCATATCTCCCCGCACCTTACTCATTCCTGCCCAGTACCCACCAATCTTGTTCAAGACTAGGACTAGCTTCTTATTGCCTTCTGCCCGTAGGACAACCTCCTCCATTTGGAAGCACCGGCAGCCCAATGGGTCCCTCGCATCCAAGACTTCCAGAATCACATCAGAGTACTCTACCACCTACAGGACAGAGGACAAGGAAATGAAGACAAGGAAAGGGCTGAGTAGCTGTCACACACACTCATGAAAGAAAGGTCTCCATCTTAGAAAAAAAGGTATCAATTGGTACCCTCCTCAAAGGGCCTTCAAAATAGGTGACCATAGACTATGGCTGCTTTGATGGTGATCACATAATTCTGAGAAGGTGTGAATCTATTTCACTAAATCATTTACAGTGTTGTAAACCAATAATACCTCAATAAAAAAAGTGTCCCCTTACCTTACGGAACTCCTTATAATAAGCCTTCCTTGTAGCCTCATCGTCCAGTTGAGGAAACATATTTAATTCCTGCATAACTTCCTTCTACAGGAGAAAAGTAATGAATGATCCAGGGGAAGAAAAGAGTGAGTCAGGGATTCAGAAACCTCAGGAGATTGTGGAAGTCATGTGAATCCCAGCTCACCCAAAATCAGCTTGACTAGTCAATACAGCCAGGGAACTGAAGAAGAATGAATGAACCCATGTGGTATGTGAATGTGTATATGTTCAAGTGTGTGTTCATGTAGCAGCTAGATGCCTGCATATGCAGATGAATCTTAAGAGAGGAATGTCAAAGAAAAGTGTGAGAAAATCAATTTAAGCAGTGGGGAAAGGATCAGGAGACAAGCATGTACTATATACTATGAGTTGGAAAGTAATTATTCTGTGAGATAAGAACATATGCTAGAAAGGCAGTAAGAACCCCTAAAGGAAGATAATACCCATCCTCCTCACATACACTCTTCCCTAAACCCTCCCCTCATACTAACTTCCAGTTTCCCTCTGTCTATTAATCTTATATTACCTGCTTCCTTTCCAAACTCTCAATCTTTGAGCTCCAACTCAGGAGAGAAGACCTAAGCACGACTGTTCATTCATAGATAAGATAAAAAATGGCCCTTTATTTCCTTTTCATCCTCCCTCCCCATTTTGTCTCCAGGGATCCAAGCCTTTCTGCACTTACTCTCTACTTCCCCTCCAACAGTCTCATACTCTTCAGAGTTCCCTGTCACACAGGGAACAATAAAAGGTGCTGTTGAGCCTATACTCAAGGGGAAAGGTTGCTTGCTTACCTTGCGCTCAAACTCCTCCTGGCGTCTCAGGACATCCTGACAATAACTTTCCATGGTCCTGCGTCTGTGTTTCTCTTGCTCCCGGGCAATCTTCTGCTTTTCCCTCATATCCTCAACCTTACAAAAGAACATACATAGGGGCTGAAGCTAATTATATCTACAGTCTGAGAAAAGGGATGGAAGACCAAGACCAGCAGGGGGTGGGATGGGAAAGAGAGGAGATGGTGTGACATGCAGAGGTGAGAGGAGTAGAGATACAGGCAGAAAGCAGATATGATTGAAGCAGGTATGGGGCTTGAGAGAAAGAAAAAGCCAGAAAGTTGAAGAAAGGGAGAGAGTAACCGTGAAAAACACAAGTATGATATGTGGGGCTCAAAGAGATGTATCATAGACAGAAGAACCACTGGAGACCAGAGGGAGAAAGAGGACAAGGTCCTCAGTTACTCCATCATATTAAGGGCAGGAGGAAAGAGCAAGCAAAGAAAATGGGAAGGACAGCTAGAAGTGAGAATGTGAAGAAAGTGAAAGGCAATGAGTTTTAATTAAAGTGTGGTCTCAAATACTGAGAATTCAGATAAGAGAAGAATGATCCATGAGTGCAATATCCAAGAATGTGCTGGTGAGAATGAAAGGGGTTGTCATTTCAGTGCAATAGTAGAACATAAGCTCAACAATAACTGACTGGGAGTGGGGAGGATATGAGGAAGAGGAAACACTAAACAAAGCATCAAAGTGACCACCCTCTCCCTTCTCCACAAATAGCCTCAACAGTCCTGACAGTTCTAGCCTCTGCCCTTCCTTTAATACTTCTGTGGAATTGACAGTCTAGCCAGGTCTATCCCCTCCTTCAAGGGAAAAGGCTTACCCTCTTTTTCTTTAATTCTGTCTCCCAGTAAACATGCTTACTGGGATGAACAAACTGAGGAGCAGAAGACATTTTGGAGGCTGGTTTCTTCATATTCTGCTTTGGAGGCTGGTCACCACACAAGAAGGAAAAAAAGAACACATTGAAATTATCCCTCCCAGTAAAGTTGTTCAAAAGTGTTTTTTTTTTTTCCTTGGGGGCGGGGCAGGGAGGAGGGGATAGAGAGAAGTGTAAGTAAAAAGAAGAGTTCTGTGCTAGAAGTCTGAGTATCTGCTAGAGAGCAAACCTCTCTGTGCTGGTCAGGCAGAGTTGGCTGACGAACTGTAGGAAAAAGGGGGTGAGTAGGGAGCAACTAAGAAGTTATCCCAACTAAAGGTCAAGAAAAAATCTTTCTAGACAAACAGCTCTCAAATGTGGCCACTGGACAAGTAGCAACAACATCACATAGAAACCGGCCTAAGTCTTATTTGGCCACCTCTTTTCCAGTAAGATCAGAAAGTCCAGGAACTAGACTTTTATTTCCCGCTTCGTCCTGAGTGATAGGGAGAAACTTGGGAATCTGACAGACTCAAGTTCCAGCTGAATTACTCTGAACCTTGAAACATTCTCACTTAAGTTTAACTTTCTTCATTTAAAACATGAGGATGATGCCAAGGTAAATCAAGAACAAAGTAGAATATGGCTTTTGATGGCGCCTAAATAAGTATTGCTGATTCTCTGCTGTAGCCACTCAGAAAGAAAAGTTATATATGCTAATTCTGATGTGGTGTTCTGCTTAGAGCCACCTAAAATGTACTGGGTTTTGTCAGCTTCTGATAGGGCAGGACACCTGTTTCCCTACAATGGGCAGAAATGAGCTGAGAGTGGGGCATACTTACTTTCTTGCATCCCTTGGGACCTTTACCTGGCTTCTTATTTTCTACAAAAAAGAAAAGAAAACGTACCATCATCCACCTATCCAATATTTGTTGACACCTGGGCCTTCCTGGTGTCACAAGAGTTGGGATCTCACCACAATCAAGCTATCACCAGTCACTGTGGCCTGAGTTTGATCCCCAGCCAGGGAGCTGACCCACATGGAGCAGCAGACCTCTCCTTTCTCCCCCACTGCTCTGCTCAGCAGTGGATTACAGTAGATCTGCCTGTTCTACTCCCCACTCTGTCTCTGGTGAATCTTTTCACCACCTTAACCTCTGTCCCATACCACAGTTCTTATATGCTTAAATAAATAAATCTTTAAAAAAGGGACTAGTCAGCCCCCCCTGGTGGCACAGCAGGTTAAAGCACTGCACTAAGAAGCTGAAACCACTTCCGCATGAGTTCGATCCCAGCCTGCCCCGGAGGAGACCACATGGTGCGGCAGACCTCTCCTGACCTGCCCGCTGCTCCCCTCAGCAGTGTACTTCATCAATCTGCCTGTTCTGCATCCCACTCTGTCCCTGGTGAATCTTCTCACCCTCCGCATCTCTGGCCTGTACCCCAGTTCTGTATGATTAAATAAATAAATCTTTAAAAAATAATAAAAAGGGACTAGTCAGTTGATGCAGTCTTATTTTAAGAAATTGCCAACTTCAGAAACCACCATCTTGATCAAGTCAGTAGTCATCAAAGCAGATCCTCCACTATCAAAAACATTAAAACTCACTGAAGCCTCAAATGATGGTTAGCAACTTTTAGCAATAAATGAGAAGCCAATTTAGCACTGGGAAACCAAGGAATTCATGTGACTTGCTTTATTGCAATATTCACTTTAGTGTAGTGGTCTAGAATCAAACCACAATGCCTCCAAGTTGTGCTTGTAAAGATCACAAGCTAAATAATGGTGGGCAGGAAATCTATTAAATTTTACCTTTAAACCTAAAACTAAATGCTAAATATGTGGCTAAGAACCATAAAACATATTAAGGGATCATTTGTTTTAATTTTGTTTATTTTTGTGTATAAAAACTAGGGTGCAGGCCAGAAGTGTGACGGGTGAGAGGATTCACCAGAGATAGCTGGGGAACAGAACAGGCAGACTTACTCAAATACACTGCTGAGGGGAGCAGAAGGCGAAATAGGAGAGGTCTTCCATGCCTTATGTAGGTCATCTCCCTGGCTGGGGATCAAACCTAGCGGTAGTAGTACTGAGAGACTTAACCCCTAGGACACCAAAGAGGCCCTAAGAAAGGGTTGTTTTAATCTAAATAGTATACCATCAAGATATAACTAACTAAAAGCCAAACTAAAAAAATCCAGGAATCAAGCAATAGGGTTTGGAAAAGCAAACCATGAAAACATGATAATGTTCTCTATTTGGAAGGGTAGAATAAAAACAGTTACTTAACTTCGGCTAAAATGACAGAGAAATTTGAGATTTTTACATCTGCTATAAATATGAATGCAATTTTTTTCCTTGGGGGCGGGGCAGGGAGGAGGGG